TGAGTTCTGATCTCATTTGGCCTTAGTAGTGTTAATCTGAATGATACAGAGCACACAATAATTAAGAAAAGGGTAATCGAAACAAGCTTAAGTGCCAAAATAATTAAACTTACCTGGCTATATGGATTGAAGTATCTATGGTATACTAACTATTTCGAAATAACGGCTGTATTCACCCTATTTAATTTAAGGCGATAGGTACTGACAGTTGAATTTCCCCACAAATATCTGAGTAGGCCTCATTTCCATTGAATTTCGCATAGCTTTTATCCCCCAAAGGCATTTCATCCAGAATGGATTGCAGTTTCGGGTTATACTAGGCCTCATCAGCGCACCCAGCGGTACTCGAATCAGGGTAGTATAGTGTATGGTCACGACACGTTAACCACTAAGCCATGTTGCCATGAGTGCCCTTGAATCATAGGGGAGAAGTGAATTTCAAGGAAGTCCAGGCCTTTCCCATGTCACATCTATGTAGTGGGATTGACGATGAAGCAATGCTTTATTTGCTGTAGCAATAGACCATACGCTGCACTACCAAGGTTCGAGTCCCGCCGGGGATGCTAAGACCTAGGCGAGTTCGAGATTGCCCAGGTGAGAATACCCTTTGGAAAGTAAGGCTACAATAAATTCAATAAAAATATAAGGACTACTCATACAATTATCAGAAAAATCACTTCTACATGTTGCCACTAAGCCTCATCATCACGGATGCCAGTGGTTTGAAGGGCAGGCGTAAAGTTCAAAGCAAGCCTAACTGGTAATGGGCATTGTGGCGTACTGGTAACGCCGAAATGATATGCTGCACTACTTGGGTTAGAATCTCATTGAGGGTGCTGATGAGACCAAAACTGCAGTCCATTCTGAATGATAATTCCTTATGGGAGATGAGTCTAAATGAAATTCAATTGCATCGTGAGGCTTGCTCAGATAAATTGTGGGGAAAATTCAACTCTAAGTTCTTGATAAACATATGCGACCTAGAATGATTATAACACTTTATAGGGAGTTACCGATAGTCTCGAAACATACACACAGTGAATATCTGCAGGAAGAATGTGCAGGATTTATTTTTGCTCTATCATATCCACAATAATGCAACAGACAGCTGTGAAAATTTACCTACCCTATTGATTGGGTTGCAAACCCTTCGTTCCAATTCATTTTGCTCATTTTTTCTTTTGTGAGTAGCAGTGAGTAGCTCTCGCATAAGACGAGCACAAGAGTTACGCCGACACACCCAAACCGGCATTCTTGTCGTCTGATCAGTCGTACTGGATGTTGTGTCAACAGTTTGAATTGGAGCCTCAGCTGCCAGCAATTTAAGCGGTGGTGAATGAATCGCGAAGTAAACGAAGTCAGGCAGGCCAGATAAATGACGAGCGCCAAGCTCATAGAGTATAGGGAGAAGACAAGGAAACCGAGCTGTCCAGAACTTTGCCATTCCAGCAGCACTTCCTCCAAATCGACGTTTCAGGGCTATTGGAAGTGACCAGATGTGATTGCGTTTGTTACGGATAGCCCGGAGAAGATCGATCAGACGTACATCCTTGA